TAGGCGTCTCCTAACAGAGTAATCGTGGGACTGGGCGCATTCCCAGCAAGCTTAGCGAGTTGAGACAGTTGCCTATTGAGGCCGCAGACATTGTACAAGGCGGGGAGGGGGGGGAAGTGGGCGGAGAGCGTTATTGAGAAAAAAGGAATTCAAAAAGGGGGGCGACAGCATCGTCGTCGGAGGAGAACAATCGCATGTAGGTCAGACGGAATGTCCCCGGAGATGGGCGGGGAGAATTTTTGCATATTTTACTATACTCTATGCATTCTTGTGCCGTTTCTATGGAGTTTTTATGGGTTTCGGTCATTTACTGAATTCCAAAAATTGTTCATCCGAAGATAACAATGGGTTTTGATGTATTTCGCATTACGAACGATTAAGTTCGTCTACAAGTAATCCACTACGTGACAATTCGATCGTAGCGAACGACGTCATCCACCGTGGGCCCCCACCAACGGTGGCTTGCATGTGAATTAGCTTATTGTGAGGCAGATCTGCGCAGCATCTACCGCACCGTTTTCTCAGGACGACTAAAGATGGACTCCAGGGCAGTGTCCGACAAATCTAAACAGCCCATCTGTGAGTACCATAAACATGTCCCAGGCTTTCGTGAGAACGGCGTGAATTATATGTAGGCGTGACAGTGTCATAGAAGCCACAGTAAGGCGAAACCAGGGCAGCTGGACTCTCGGACCCGAGAAGAACTCGATTACTCTTTAGGCGGTCAACCCCCTCTATTGCCATTACTGCTTTGTGGTTCCTGAGCCAAAGTGCTAGAGGAGACAATCCTAAACAATCAGTCCGGGTGGCTGTTTTGTATTCAAAATCCTCAAGAAATCCCATGCAAATATGTTCACTTACAGCACTAAGATCCGTGCTACAGCGTCCTAATAAACCGACGGGATGCGGAACCTTGGTCCAGTGGTGCGGGAGAGTAGTATGCTAGCTGGATTTCTCAACCGGACATTGAAATTGGATGCTGAAATGTGCGAACACTTCTGGAACCCTGGTACTCAAAGTCTGGCGGTGCGCAGTCTTCGTCTGTACCACGTGGGTGTATGATGCCTGTTCGAAGTTCGAATCCACGACTCAGGCGCACGGGGAATAAAAATCCCAGAAGTCGATTCCAACCTCACCCTGTATCACACTGACCCACGTGACTCTTCAGGTAGACATGAGGTAGACTGAAGTTGGACTCCAGGGCAGTGTCTAATAAGCCATTTGTGAGTACCATACACATGTGCCTGGCTTTAGTGAGAACGGCGTGGATTATATGTAGGCGTGACAGTGCCACAGAAGCCACAGTAAGGCGGAACCATAGCAGCTGCACTCTCGGTCCCGAGAAGAACCCATTACTTCCATTAATCCCATGCGAAGGTCTCCGCGGTCTTCCCTATTTGGCTATCTGCGTACCGTGATGATCCCGTCAGTGATCGCATCAGCCGAACCTGGCGGCCTAAAAACACCCTTGGTTCGACCTACAGCGGACTGTCGACGATATGGGCAGAAGTTTCTGTTTTCCCAACCTTATTGGCGGACTCTGCAATCAGCAAGGAAGTATCAGGCCGCATCTTTCGCACTCGGCGATGATCCTGCTGACCTTTGCAATGCCTCCCCCCAAGAGCAGCCGTTTTTTTTCCTAAATCCCACGTCTCCCCCACCACAAGAACGACAGTTTTTGTCCAAAAAATCCCTAGGAGTTTTTTTTACTGTCGGCTAACTTAAAAAAAAAAACAAGAACCATGTACCACCTCATGACTCAGGAAAATTGGCCTCGCTAACAAACTGAGCTACCTTGTTTTCCGCTTCCACGACGCACATGTACAAATAGGGAACTCAAAGGCAATAAACCAAAGCGCTAGAGTACGAACGATCAGTCCGAGTGGCTGTTTTGGACCCATCTGTATTCAACGTCCTCCAGAAACCTCATGCAAATATGTTCACTTACAGTACTACGATCCGTGCTGAGGCGAGGGGATCAGAAACCTTGGTCCAGTGGCGTGGAGTAATAGTATGCGAGCTGGATTTCTCAACCGAGCTCAGACTCTTGGTATTGGATGCTGGGATGTGCGAACACTTCTGGAATCCTGGTACTCAAAGTCCGGCGGCGCGCAGTCTTCATCAGTACCACGTGGATGTATTATGCCTGTTCGAAGTTCGAATGCACGACTCAGGCGCCCGGGGAATAAAAATTCCAGAAGTCGATTCCAACCTCACCCTGTATCACACTGACCCACGCGACTCTATTACCCTCTCGGAACAAGCCAACCGTGCAGTACTTGCATGGGAGCCAGTCAATGATCGGATGGCTTACGCAAGACTTAAGGGGTCCCCTTACGAACTTTTCTGTCTTCTCTGTTTACGCATCAACATCAGCTACCGAAAAGCGCGATAAGGAGGTCCTTTACTCGCAGCTGCAAGAGTTAGTTGAAAGACTTCCTGGCTGTGATCTGTTCACTGATGCCGGGGGTTGGAATGGGCTGACTGAGCCCACTGACTCGTC